AAGTTTGATCCATACAGCTTCTGAATTTTTATTTTTATCAGTGAGATCCCTTGCCCGCAAGTTTTCTTTTACGTATACGTACGTATATGTTCATCCATATTCCTTCTTTGTGCCATATTACAGTGAGTCAGGATCACGCTGTTGGACAGGAAGAGACAAACTTCCTTTCTTATGCTGTTTCTTTCCATTTCTCTTTCTCTTCCTCTTTGCATTTCATCTCTCATCACTCTTTCCACAGGAGTTTATGACGGGGCTGAATTCACACAGGAACCTGGTCCTGGTTCTGGAAACAGATGGGTCCCACCTGAGTTCTATGAGTTTGGAGCAGGATGTGGTTCTGATACGGAGCCTGCTATTGCGAGTGCATGCCCGCTGGGACCAGCTTGTACAGAGTTCATTGGACCGGGACCAACATCTGGAGAAGGCCCGTCTCACAGCTGAGAAGGTACTAACCCACATAAAAGTACAGACCTCGGACAGAAGGTACTGACCCACCCAGTAGCACTGCAAACCATATCTTATAGTCAAAATGCTCTGATTCCTGGTGCCCTCTTTTGGCAGTTCAAGGAGGCGTGGCTTGAATTCTGGGAGTGGCTGCAGGAAGCAGAGAGCCGACTGGATGCAGATCTGGAGATTAGCAATGACCCAGGACTTATCAACCGGCTGCTGATTGACCATAAGGTAGTTAGTTCACCCTCCACTTCAAATGTGCACACATCATATTACATATGCCAGAGTTATTTGGTCATATCTGTTCCACAGGAGTTCCAGAAGTTTCTTCATTCTAAGCGGCCAGTATTTTACACCACGGTTCGATTCTGCCGGACCATCCGTGAGCAAGCCACCCTGCCAGCTGACACATTGAAACTGGGAAACTTGCTGGGCAAGATCCGTGATAAGTGGGACTACGTCTGTGGGAGGACTGTAGACAGGTACAGAGAAGAGTGGACAAACAAAAAGAAAGAGGACAGGTAGAGAGGAGAGTGAACAAACAAAAAGAGATCGGGCAGGTAGAGAGGAGAGTGGACAAACAAAAAGAGATCGGGCAGGTTCAGGGGATTGTGGACAAACAAAAAGAAAGTGGGCAGGTAGAGAGGAGAGTGGACAAACAAAAAGAAAGTGGACAGGTAGAGAGGAGAATGGACAAACAAAAAGAGATCAGGCAGGTAGAGAGGAGAGTGAACAAACAAAAAGAGATCAGGCAGGTTCAGGGGATTGTGGACAAAAAAATAACGTGGACAGGTATAGATGCGAGGGGACAAAAAGAATGACAGTGTTGCTTTACATAGTACAGCAGCAAACAAGTACAGATGAAACAGGTACAAACAGGTACAGAGTAAAGGAGACAAATAAAAAGAGAGAGGACAGGTACGAAGGAGAGCAACAGATAAACAGAAAATGGACAGTAGCAGAGGAGGGGGGACAAATGACAGGAGAATGGGCATGTAGAGGGGACAGTGGACAAATAAAAAGAGTGAACAGGTACAGGCCAGAGTAGACACAGAAGAAGAGAGTGGACAGGTACAGAGGACAAAAGGAGAGTGGGCAGGTAGAAATGTAGAGAGAAGAGTAGCAAGCTTTTTATGGGTCCATGCATCCATCTGTTTCCCATTTTGCGCATCGAGATCATTCAGTACATCATAAAGATGTGGTGTCTTCTCTGCATGTGTTACTGTGCGTGCTGTTGCTATGTGTTTGGTGAGTTTGTATTATTTTAACATTACAGAACCTCTTTCCTTCAGGCAGCAGCAGCTAGACCAGGCTCTTCTCGAGGTGGGCCAGGTAGATGTTGCCCTGCAGGGCATCCTTGACTGGCTGCTGCAGGTAGAACCCCAGCTTGATGAGCAGGATCCAGTGCATGGGGATCTGGGTCTGGTGGCCCACTTGGTCGACTCACATAAGGTAGCACCATTACAGTGGCCAGGGGCGTCGGGGGGCATGGATACCCTGACAAATTCAGGGGACCTAGCACTTTACAGGGGCTCTTGAATGCATAAAATTATATAACATAAGGGGGGCCTCGAGGTGACATTTTGTCAGGGGGCCCAGAATGTCTAGCTAGTCCCCTGACCATGGCTGTAGTTTTCTGCGGAAGATACTGCTGCTTGGCTTATGGGAAACCATGTTGTCATGGTGACAGGTTCTCCAGCAAGAGCTGGGGAAGAGAGCAGGGAGCTTTGAGGCTTTGAAGCGCTCGGCTACTGAGGTGATGGAGAGGAGCGGCCTGTGCGAACAGCTGCAGGATGTCAGCCAGCGTTGGGATAGGGTCTGTGGCCTGTCTGTTACCAGGCAGCTCCGCCTACAGCAGGCCCTCAAACAGGTACCCAGAGCCCACTCACCTGTACTACCATGGAACAATAAAGGTTACTTGCACTAATTTGCTTTCATTAAATTTACTACTAAAATTTACTTTCATTGAATTGTTATAACAAAATCAGATGTTTTTTTTTTTTTTTTTAACTCAGTATTAAAAATTCACACTATTTTTCCCCCAACGAACAAAAGAATTGTGGGAAAGAGATCTAGGGTTTACGGTGGATGAAGGCCAGTGGGACAACATTCTTGCAACGGTTCACAACTCTTCTATTTGTGCCCGTCATGGACTGATCCAATGTAAACTCTTGCATAGAGTTTACTACACTAACCATAGGCTGTCTAAAATTTTCCCTAGTGTGGATGATGCCTGTAACAGATGTGATCAGTCTCCTGCTGACCTGGTACATATGTTTTGGTCATGCCCAAAATTGACAAATTTTTGGTCTAAAATATTCAGTACATTTCAAAAGGTGTATAGTATTGAGATTACCCCACATCCCCTCTCTGCGCTTTTCGGTATCCCTTTTAAAAATGGCTTGCCGTCGGTTGCCCGACATGCCATGGCATTTTGCACGTTGCTTGCAAGACGTTTAATTCTCCTGAATTGGAAAGAGGTTTTGCCCCCTTCGTATAATCATTGGATAAAAGAAGTACTGTTTAATTTAAAATTAGAGAGGATTAGATTTTCCCTTGGAGGGTCCATGAAAAAATTTGGTGACACATGGAACCCTTTGTGGTCATTTATAGATTCCTTGGACATAACACCTGGAGAGTGCGTTACATGAGTGCTTGGTAATTAAATTAAATTAGGTTTATTTCTATCATCACCACTTTTCCATAGGGGCCCCTTTTTTTTTCTTTGCTTTTGTCATTTAATTTTAAATATAATTATGTGTGCACAATATTCCTTATTATTAATTATATTTCTTCATAATTTGTTGGGGGGGGGGAGTGGGATTAGGGGGCAATAATGAAAAAGAAAATGGGCATGGATCTTTTTGTACCACCGTTGTAAATTGTATTGACGCTCAATAAAAAAAAATAAAAATAAAAAAAACAAACATTCACCCATGGCCCATGCTTGTTCAACACGTTACTCACTGACCTTCTCTCACCCCAGGCTGAGGAGTTTCACAGCTGGGTGCAGCGCCTGCGGGCTTGGCTTTCCGGGCTGGAGCAGGGCTTGCACTACCGCGGCCTCCTTCCAGAAGAGGAGCCCCCTTTGCAGGCACTTCTGCAAAGCCAGAAGGAGCTGATGCAGGCCATGCAGGGAAAGCGCCAGGACGTGGACAGGGTGGTCAGCTTGGGAGAGGCCATTCTCAGAGTCTGCCACCCGGACGGCTTCACCTCCATCAAACTGGGGGTTGCCAGTCTCCAAGAGCGCTTTCAAGAGGTGGGTTCACCTCAGCGGGAGGGTGATGGTGATCTTCAGCTGCCTTACTGGGCACGTCCTGCTGCATCCTCACCCTCTGTCAATGGTGATCTGCAGCTGCCTTACTGGGCACAAGACAGCACCCTAAAATGATCAATATATGCAAGTTTCCCGATATGCCCACTTTTCTGTTGATACCTATGGAGTGTTCCTGAGTTTTAACCCCACAGCACAGCCATAGGTGCCTGCCTGCCTTCCAGTGTCGCTGGCTGAGCTGCATAGTGTCTGTTTGGTCTATAGAACATCAACTTCTGTGTCATAACAGCTGATTCTACACAGGGCAGTCATTACTTTTATGTATGTGAGTAGCACTAAAGCACTGAGAAAGGCAGACGTGATGTCAGATAGGTGAAAGGTGATTTTTGCTGTTGCTTGACAACAAGAATAGAGGTTGCCGAAGTTGCGAGAAGTCGTCAGATTTGTTGCTAGGTGCTGGATAATATTTTTAGTTGCTAGGGAAGGTCAAAAAGTCACTAAATCCTGTAATAAAGTCACTAAATTGGCAACACTGTATCGACGTCTGCAGAATCTTAGCAACCTGTGGAGAGTGGTCTGATGACCTCATGTTTGTGTTTGCCGTGCATACAGGTGTTGACATGGGTTAAGCAGCATGAGCAGAGACTGGAGAGAGCTCTAGAGGAGCTGCAGAAGGGCACAATACAGCTGCAAGATCTGCAGTCTTGGCTGCAGTGGGCAGAGTCTCGACTGGCTCAGCGTGAAGCCGCCCCTCTACCCCAGCAGCCCATGCAGCTCCGAGCACTGATTTCTGAGCACTATGTATGACTCTTCTTGATTATTGGTTCTCTCTCTTTTGGTGTTCTGTGACCTCCATATTGCTCCATATTACTTCCCATACAAGCATTTCACCTTCTCTTCAGGCTTTCATGGAGGAAGTGAAACACAAGCAGGAAGATGTGGACCAGATGCCCAAGAACTACAGGAAGAAAACATCAGGGAACAACTTTGGAGAGAGACTCAGAATGTGTGAGTCATTAATTATGGTGTGTCTCTCTTTCACCAACATGAATTTTCCATGTCAGATGTAACCACGGCAACCTCCTTTATTCACAGGTGAGAAATGCTGCTGTCAGTGGCAGAAAGTGTGGCAAAGCTCCCTTTTGTACCAACGCAAGCTTAGTGATGCCCTCTATAGGTTGGAAGAGGTACTGCTGAGCACAGGAGCTGTTAATCTATTTATTTGTTCTGTTAATTGTCTTGTAACTATTTGCTCTCTACTGTAATGAGACCATTTCCCCTGATACCTGTAAAATGTTTCTGGATGTGATGTTATATCTTGTTTGGCAGCTGAAGGAGGCCCCAGCCTTTGACTTTGAAACATGGAGGCAGAGGTATATGCTCTGGCTCCACCTTCGGAAGGACAGCCTCATGGAAGTCTTCCGGAACATTGACAGAGACCAAGATGGCAGGATCAGGCGGCTTGAATTCACTGAGGGAATTCTGGATACCAGTATGTTCACACATTAAAATCCTCCCATACTTTATACAGATTTGCTCATAGTGGCTGCACGATGATTTCATAGTAAGCTTACAATTGTCTCACAATGTGAACACTTCTAGATAATGATATCAGTGTCCCAACAATGACCTCACAGAGTGGTGAACATGCACTGGGGGGGTGAGATACATGTGGAGGCAGTGGTGGCTTGATGGTTAGGGAAGCGCACTTGTAATTGAAAAATTGCTGGTTTGAATCCCCGACCAGCAAGGTACCACTGAGATACCCTAAGCAAGGTCCCGCCCCCAAGCACTGCTCCCCGGGTGCTGAATTAGCTGTCCCCTGCTATGTCACGAAAGTCACATATGGGTGAAATGCAGAGGACACATTTCATTGATATGCTGTGGTGTGTCAACAATGACCACTGGTCACTAAATTCTAAATGTGCCAGGTAGCTGGACTGTGCTGGTGTGTGAGCAGCCCAGATTAAAGAGGTTCTCACTGGGAGGCTGTCTGAGTCAGACCTTATCAGGGTGGCTCAGTGGGATAGGAATGTCTCTCCATGAGGCTGCGGATTCAAATCCCGTGGTTGGCAGAGTGATGCCACTGCTGTGCCCTTGAGGGAGCCCTTACCGGCAACAGTGCCAGGTGTGCTGGATGCTGCCTGACCCAAAACTTGCTCTCACCTATGTGTGCGTCTCACAGAGAGCAAGATGCCCCCGGCAAAGAGAGGGCTTCCTCATGACTAGCGGTGATATGCTCAGTATGCATCAGTGGTACGACACAAAAGTGTAGCTGTTCAGTCACCATGATATGGATAGTAAATATATTCTAGGTGTGATTACTAGTCTTCGGTTTAGTAAGTAATGTGCCCCTTTTAGTCCTGTTTGTTCTTTGTTCTTTCAGACTTTCCCACCAGTCAACAGGAACTGGTGGCAGTGGCAGACATCTTTGACCGGGATGGTTATATCGACTACTACCAGTTTGTGGCAGCTCTACTCTCCAGCAGGGACCACTGGCATTTCAGCAGTGACAGGGGCAGCATGGAAAACGAGGTGACATGTATTTTATTTTTACTCACATAAACATCAGCATTCCTGAGTCAGTAAGAACGGCAAAATTATTTCCTTTTTGTCTGTGTCTCTCTGGTCACAGATGTTCAGACAAGTAGTGCAGTGTAGATGTGCAAAGCGGTTCCAGGTTGAAGCACTGGGGGGCGATAAGTATAAGGTGAGTCAATGCACCTGCATGCATGAGTCTTATGCTGAGACTCACAAGCAGCTGGCCTGACAGTTCTTCAAATAGACTGTCTGTAACACTCCATGAATGTTCACTTACATACTGGCCCTGTTCATAGGAAGGTCTGCCCAGACCTCCCAAAGAGGGCATTCACTCTCACAGCACTGTGGCTGGCGTTCTCCACACCTGCTGCTTTTTAGCTGGGTTTAGGACTGCATGCAGAAACCGTTTGTTATTATCAGCATTAGGAAACGTAAAATGCACGTTCTGGCCTCTTTCTGCTTACCACAGTTCTGGGACTCTGAATGCTCAGTTCGAAGGCTTTTTGGGTTGGTGCTGGTTCGGCTCGGAAATGTCTACATGGCTCTGGATCAGTTCCTTCTGAAGTATGACCCCTGCCGAGGTGAGAACCCCCCCCCCCCAGTCTCCTCAGCACACAATATACTGCATATAAACACAAGTTTGTCTAAGCAGCTCACAAGATTTTCACATTGTCAGCTCAATGCATATATTTCATTCTTAACTCACCTGTAACAAAACTGAATAATAGATACTTTCGGGCTCTTTTTCAGCAGTTAGAGGTTAGGGTTCTGTTTTTCAGCAGTTAGGCAAAATGTACCCTCAGTATGCAAATATTCATTTTTATCTTTCTGAGAATTTAATTCTGTGCCCGCAGCATCTGGCCCAACAGGCTGCAGTCGGCGGAAACTGAGCAGGAAGAGAGGTGCTGATGTCTAGGAGGGTGCAAACAACCGCAGGTGGCAGCGTGTCCAAGCTCACAGGGGCAGCAAATGTGCAAAAGTGACTGCAGTGTCACATCTCTGTAATCCAGACAATTCAAGTGCTTTCTACTCTGTTCCTGTGAATAAATTTAAAGATTTATTTACCTATTTTACTGGCAGTATGGAAAAACCAGGATTATTAATTTGCTCCTACAGCGAAGCAGGATTTGGTGTCATGGCACTGATGCCATGATCTAAGACGGCTCCACTGTGAGACCAGAGCCCTGATTACTATCTCCGTTCCTTGTGAGTGATGTGACACGTGAGAATTTTGAAAAAGTAGAAGAGGAATTTGTACATGTTGATATTATTACTACTGGGAAGTCTAAGCCAGTTCATTGCATGTGTTTTCACTGCTAGCTGTAGCTTCTGTTAGCCCTGCCTCAGCTCTGCTAACTTGTGGGATTAAACTGAATAGACTGCCTATGAGCATTATGATCATCTGCTGGTCAGTATTGTAACCTTGAAGACTAATAATCATTTTAATTGGTTCAAGTCAAAAGGGCTGAACTGGATACTTTAAACCCTGTATAACTGACTGTGAACTTGTGAGTGATATGTGGTGCAGTGTGTGGGGGGGGGGGGGTTAAAAGTAGTTTATATTCATTATCAGAGAACTCTGACATTCATGGATCTTCCAGAGATGGAAGAAGCCTGTATTTGTTTTTATTTATTTATTCATGGTAAAGTGGAGGAGTGATTACACCAGGAAATAAAATGAAATACAAACAGTTAAAACAAGATTTGTTCTTATTATCCTTTTGTTTTAAATACAAAGCTTTGTGCGAGTTGTTGTAGGAGGCGATTGTTTGGTTGTAATTGTGCTTGTGTGGTGAGTGTTACCGTCAGGCTCATTGTCACTGTATAGGGTGACCAGATAATCCATGTCAGGGAGGACACTCTGAGCTAGGACAGGAATTGTATATTACCATTTCAATTAAACGGACCTGGATTTGACTTGAGCACTGAGTTCTTGCTGTGTGCTGATTGGTCAGTCTCCTATAATCATGCATGTGTCACTAATGCTAATATGAAACAGCTGGATGAGTCTTTCAGTTAAGGAAACAAACTAGTCAAAGCACAAGAAGAGCTGAACTATTTAGCCGAGCACAGGAGCCTTTTAATTTGAAAGTAGTTTGTAAAACCCGAAGTAGCTCAAAGTGTCCTCCCTGACATGGATTATCTGGTCACCCTATCACTGTACTATGTTAACTGTAAAGTTCTGCACTGCATACATGTTGGATTAAGGACAGCAGGACTAGAGGAAAAAGGAAAATCCTCAGAATGTTTTGAAATGCAGTGCAAATTTCAAAATAAAACCCTTTTACCATGTTATGTACTGTCGAGTTCAATGTGCTTAAATATCACTGGTGAATTCTGGGTGATGCAGACGTTTAGGCCGACATTTAGGCCAGTGTTTAGGCCGACATTTA